CCCTGGCCAACTGTGTGTTGACATCAGCTGTGGCTCTCCCCCTCCCCTCGAGGGCCATTGGCCACTGATCCACGAGGACAAAGGGAGCAGAAGCGACGAACGGGGTCAGGATGGCCAGTGAGCACTGACAGAAAAAAGCCCTTCCGGGGAGGCAGATTCAGTGATACAGCTCCAGATTTGGTGATACAGCTCCAGATTTGGTGATACAGCTCCAGATTCGGTGATACAGCTCCAGTTTATTCAGTGGGGGTCAGGGAAAATATAGTGTGGAGGCAGCAGCCAAAGCTTCAGCTGATAGGTGCTCATATATGCTTTATTTACATGCGGTAGGAGGATCCTATCAGCCGACTATGGGGCAATGCCTAATTATCATATAGAAAAAAACTGGGGGCAGTTTTATTGCAGGTAATTATGCCAAAGGTCATGTTCCAAATAAGGTCAGGCATCTGTGCTTGGTGGCACTTTCCAGGTAAGTCAGGCAGAGAGCAGGAGGTCCCCGCTGAGAAAGGGAGTCCTTCCATATATCGTGGAGTCCCTTAGAGCTATCCGGACATGGAGGACTACAACCCTAGCAGCAGGGTCCCCCAACAATCAGCCTCATCCAGGAAATAGATTATTGATGGTTGATTTATTTTGTTTTATTTTGGTTGGCTTTTCAAGTAGGGTCTTGCTTTGTAGTTATAGCTGGCCAGACACTGTACAACCAAGGGAGTCCTTCCATATATCGTGGAGTCCCTTAGAGCTATCCGGACATGGAGGACTACAACCCTAGCAGCAGGGTCCCCCAACAATCAGCCTCATCCAGGAAATAGATTATTGATGGTTGATTTATTTTGTTTTATTTTGGTTGGCTTTTCAAGTAGGGTCTTGCTTTGTAGTTATAGCTGGACAGACACTGTACAACCCAGGCTGGCCTCAGGCTTGTGGTGATCTTCCAGGTTCTGCCTTCTGAGTGCTGTGATCACAGGCATAAGTCACCATACTTGACTTGGTTTTATTATTTATTATTAATTCATGTATGTATCTTCATGTTTGTTTATCAGTACTCCTTTGATGGGCACATAGTTCTTTTAGTACATGGCGGTTAGAGGACAACTTTGTAAAGATGATTCTCTCCTACCTTTACATGGGTTCTGGGGATCAAACCCAGGTTGCTAGGTTTGCATGGAAAACACATGATAACAGCTAAATACATGTTCGTTCCAACAGCTTGGAACTAAAAGCAGGGTGGGGAGCCTCAAGTAATAGACCAGGCCTGAAGAATACAGACTTGTGCAGCCCCTGTGTGTCTGAGACAGTCTGTGTGGCCCCAATGTGAAAACAACAGTGTTGGGAACAAGGCGAACCTGTGAACCCTTCCTGGGAAGACAGCCATCCTGGGGGCCAAGCCTGCCTTGGGGAGGAAAGCTCACCCTGAGGCGGAACTGCAAGACATCAGAGTATGGTGTCAAGTATGACTGCAGGAAGAGAGGGTGGACAGCAGGCTGTCACATGATCACCTCCACAGGTGCAGAAATCCCTGTGCCAGTTCTTCCAGAGGGTGGAGGGCACTAGAACAGTTCAGTGACACTGGGCAGGAGTCATGATGTACATTTAGGTGGAGTTCTCCCTTGCAATTTATTTAAATCACAACCACTCTTGGTATAAAGAGGGATTTAAAACTCTCTGCTGGAAGTTGGGGATATAACTTTGCCTAATATGTGTAAGGCCCTGGGTTGGATCCCCAGTGCTGCTGAGGCTTGACCAGGGGAGATGCTCAGGAAAGGAACGACAAGAGTTGGGAATAGCAGGATGCCATACCTAAAGCCCTGCCCTGGTTCCTACACTTGCCTTTCAGACTCCTGAGCTGGACCAACTGCCCTCTGCTGCCTCAACATCTTCCATGTGCCTTTAAGAGACTCCCTCTAGCCACACTGGCTCCCTGATGCACTGTGTGTGTCCTTCCTGCACAATATGCTCTTCCCTCTGCCTCTTGCCACAGCATATCCTCACCTTGTATGTCTGGGATCTGAGCCTTGGCATAGCTTCCCTTTCTCAACCACAATCACTTCTTACAGGGAGATCTACCTTCAGGAGGGACCCTTAACACCTTCCCATGACCACATCACTGGCCCACGGAATGTCAGTACACACTAGTACAGAGATGGAAGGGACCTGACTGGGTCAGCATGGGACACTGACCATGGAGACTTGGGGCCCTTACCTGGACCTCCATTTTGACTTCTAGGCATATTACAGTTGCCAGAGTGGAAAAGCCAGAGACCATGTAAGCGCTCAGAAAAACTGCAAGATTTTTTTTTTTCAGATAAGGTCTCATGTATCCCAGGCTGAACTTGTTATGTAGGCAAGGATGATTTGAACTTCTGATCCTGCAGATTCTACCTTCAGATTTCCAGGATTATAGACATTCCACCTCTCCCAGTTGTATACAGTGCTGGGGCTCAAACCCAAGGTTTCATACATGTTAGGCAAGCTCTCTGCCAATTAAGTTACATCTTAATCCTAAGAACTGCAGAATTTGATGCATGGACAAAACCTGGGAAGTTGTCACAGCTCCCATATCCTTAACTCTACCCCAACAGACCAGCCTCATGGTTTCCCCCGTATTAGTATTGGAGGCCTTATCTCGCTGCAGACCCTTGGCACAGGACAGCAGAAGGCTCTAAGAAGCTTTAGAGAGGTTGTAGGACCAGTGAGCATGAGACCTCACTGCCATTCTGATCTCGCCTGGCCTAACCTCCAGGTAGCTGTGCTGTCACAGGCTCATTGCCAACCAGTAATTCTGAGGCAGCCTGAATGTCTGCTTTCCAGCAGCTGGGTACAGGTGCCTGTCCCCAGGGAAATGTGACAGTCCCTCCAGTGCTGGGCAGCGCAGAGCCTCCACCCCAATAGCTGCTCCTCTACTTCTACTCTGTCCCCCACTTCTCCATTTGCCAGTAACACATTTCTCCCTCTTTGGTGTGGGGTGATGGAGCAGACTCAGGCAAGACCATCCCTTTCCTTCCCCAAATTATAACTTTTTGAGGCCCAAGAAAAAAAATACAGCCACCAGGCATATCCTCAGAGGAAAGAATGGCTTTATCATGGGATGCAGCCAGAGTTCAACACTCCATAGCCAGGCAGGCTTAAAAGAACAGGGTGCTCCAGCTTGTGGGTCCCAGGAACTCCAAGGAATGGATTCCCTACCAGGCAAAAGAAGGACCCACAAGCAGGGGTGGGGGATGGGAGACAGCCAGAGACTCATAGGGAGTAGGCAAATAGATTTGATTATATTGAACACAGCCATTGATTTTTTTTTTCTAAATAAACATGCAGGAGGAAATAGTAATGGACGCTTGTTTCTGGTGGGAATCAATTAACCCCAAATTGGAAGAAAATCTAAAAACACAAATAAGTGCAAGAGAAAGTATTGGGGGGCCATCCATGCTCCTCCAGTAAGAGGGGGGAGGAGAAAAAACAGGCCACAGACCTTCCCCTCCCCCTTCCCACGAAATAGTAATGGACGCTTGTTTCTGGTGGGAATCAATTAACCCCAAATTGAAAGAAAATCTAAAAACACAAACAAGTGCAAGAGAAAGTATTGGGGGGCCATCCATGCTCCTCCAGTGAGAGGGGGGAGGAGAAAAAACAGGCCACAGACCTTCCCCGCCCCCTTCCCAGTGAGGTGCTTCTGTTGGTCTATGACTCTCCCAAACATGATCCCAAAATAACAAGTGGGACAGTAGCTACCTTCATAATAACCCCCTGTTATTTTGTTTCTCAGCTGAAAGCACTGAGGCCCCTTCCCCCAGGTTACGTAGCCCTGCAGCAGCAGATCTAGATCTTACAAACCCAGAGGCCCCCAAGCCCAAGTCTGTTCACTCACCAGCTCTGAGTGTTTCACCCAGTGCCTTCAGCTGGTCTTGGAATTCAGAGAAAGAGGACTTGACCCCAGAAAGCCCATACCCAGCGTGCCCACAGTCCATGTAGACTTAGAGGGTAGGGAACCCACAACAGCACCCCAAGATTCAATGAGGTCAGGCTGAGGAAGCACCTAGTCAGTCCCCCAGGAAGGTGGGAAGCAGGGTTGAGGAGCACTGCCCTGGGATGCGCCTCCAGCCCGTTTACTGGCTCTGCCCTGTGTGTGCCTTCAGCTGGTCTTGGAATTCAGAGAAAGAGGACTTGACCCCAGAGCCCATACCCAGCGTGCCCACAGTCCATGTAGACTTAGAGGGTAGGGAACCCACAACAGCACCCCAAGATTCAATGAGGTCAGGCTGAGGAAGTACCTAGTCAGTCCCCCAGGAAGGTGGGAAGCAGGGTTGAGGAGCGCTGCCCTGGGATGCGCCTCCAGCCCGTTTACTGGCTCTGCCCTGTGTAATGTTCCACCACAGCCCGTCACCAGCAAGATAAACTATGTCATGTCGCAGTGCATCACAGGCCTCATTTGCCAAAGCACCGTGCAATGCTGATGCCGTTCAGCAAGCACACCCGTGATAAAAGGCCTAAGAGTAATGGGCTTTGCACTCGGGTTTAATTTCCTAAAGCTTTGTTTTGTTTCTTGGTCATGGATTTGTGTACACATGCTTGTTTTCAAATAACCCGACTCTGGGAGTATACCTAATTACCTTAAGCAGGGCTTATTAGTCCTGTTAACTAAAACTCCCTAATCTATGAGGCCAAGTATTCAAAAGCAGCCTTTAAAATAGGATTAAGACAAAAAGGGAACAGTTACAGAATGGAATTAGGGCCAGCTCTCCTAACACCACTGTGGAGTTACCTCTGAATTCTGTTGTAAGAATTCCCCCGCTCCACATGGTTCATATAGGTGTGCACTAAATATTGGTAGGCTGGGTGGGTGGACAGGTGGACAAATAAGTGTCCTCTACAGTGCACTGTTTACCGCACACAAGAAACGCCCAGTGTCTGCTTGTGAGTGAGAAGGGTGGACGAATGGAACAATGGATGGAGCGACTCTAAGACCAAGGGCTGCACTTGCTGTAACAAGCTGTCTTTTCCAGGTGACATGTGCACCATGGCTGGCTACGCTCGCCTCAAGAATGTCCTCCTAGCACTTCAGAGCCGCAGGCAGCCGCTCCAAGAAGGAGACAACAGGCAGGACCTCGCCTCCCAGAAACGCCTCTTGGTGGAGTGCCTGTTTAAGGACTTGGATACCGATGGCAACGGCCACCTCAGCAGCTCAGAACTGGCTCAGGTGGGTATATGGATGGCATCCAGAGAAAATTGAGTTGTGAAGGGAACCTGTTTTCCACCGGCCCATATGGAGAAGAGATGTAGGGGATCATGGGGGAAGAGGGACAGGTGTTTATAAGTGTCTCTGATGCAAGTGCCCCCCCCCCACGACGGCCAACCTGCGCCTAGAACGGCAGAAAAAGCCTTGAACACAAAATTCTGTTTCTTCCTGCTGCCCGTTTCCTTCGCTTGTGTTTACAAACCAGCTTTGACACCCTCAGCTCACGGGCGAAGCCTCTCTCAGAAAGGCTGCCTGTTAGTGTTTTCCTCAGGAAAGCAGTCTCCTGCTCTTCCAGCCTGTCACTTTCCTCAGTAGAAAATCAAAGAGAAACAGTTCTTGTTTCCAGCAAGTGTCTTTGGCGTGCTAACCTGGGGGTCCCCAAAGCCCCTTCCCAGGGGCAGCACTGTTCTTTCACATACAAATACCAATGAACCGGTGCCCCCCACCCCCCACACACAGCCATCTTGCTTTGTGGGAAGCCCTGTGTCCACCCCCATGGTGAGAAAGCCCATGGATCCAACCCTGAGGCTTGCCGCTTCCCCAAAAGCTGCAGGTTAGAGCACAGCACACAGATCCTGTGGCCCAGCTACAAGGAGGTACTAAGGTAGTTTGTGTCTACAACACACAAAAAGGCAAGGAAAAGCAATGTCCCTCGCTGGGGCCATGGCCACAGCCAGCTGCAAGAGGAGTGCTTGTAGGGTCCTGGTGGCCGGAAGGCTGGCAGGGGCCAGTGGGGCTGCGTTGCTGTTCCTGTTCCTGCTCTGCCGGTTTGTTTCTGGGCCCATCCAAACGCAGAAATAAGCAAGGAAATGGGTTTGGCTTCTTCAGGCAATGTGGTCTGTGGAGGCAGCTCTGCCCCAGAGACTGGAACGGTCACCCAGAGAACAAGCGTCAGGGATGAGTCCCAACTTTTGAGGCCAACTGGAGAAAATCTTAACCATGTCATAGGGATGAGATGATGGCCAGGAGGCTGGGGGGATGGCTCAGAGGGTAAAGCACTTGCTGTACAAGTAGGAATACTAGATTTTAGAGTCCCAGAATCCCGGAATAGAGAGATGGCTCAGCAATTAAGAACGCTGGTTGTTCTTGCAGAAGACCCGGGTTCGAATCCCAGCACCCACATGGCAGCTAACAACTGTCCATAACTGCAGTCCTAGGGGATCCGACATCCTCTTCTGTCCTCTACAGGCATCGCACAACACAGTGCACTTACCTACATGCACGCAGTACACGCATACACATAAAATAAAAATAATAAATAAAATTTTTTTTCAAAGTTTTAGAGTCCCAGAATCCAGGTAAAAGCCCAGAGCAAGCTCTAGGCTCAGTGAGAGAACCCACTTCAATAAAGTCAAGGAAGGCCTACACATACCCCCACATGAACATGTTTCACATACACATACATGTACACACCACACACATACACACAATGCCAGCCAGGTCATTGGGCAGGCTGGTTGCCTGTGATGGATAATTAGCGCCTTTAAACATACAGCAACTAAAAATGCAGACTTCTGAAGTCAACTGTGGCTCCCAGCGTTCATGAGCTGGAGGGGCCTCCATTTCTTAGCCATGAACCTTACAGGGTCATCACAAGAGTTAAAGGTACTATGACAGTGAGACACATGATGTGCTTAGCATTCTGCCTGGCACATGGGGGCGGGGGGAGGTTCTCAGCAGGTGACAGCAGTCAGTAGCATCATCGTCATCACCTTTGTCATCAGTACCCCCACCATTTCACCTTTCAGAATTTTCTATTGTAAGGTCCCTGGTGCCAACCTTGTCTCCTGGAAAGAGATTTCACACAGTTCTGACTTGTAAGTTCACCTTTCAGGACAGACAGACAGACCTGAGGTCAGTGATGCATGACCAGGACTGTTTAGTTATGCATACTGCTTGCCCTCCTGTAAACCTAAGCCACCTGTTAGGACCCTCAAGAAGAATGATGTTGGGGGGCGCTGTCACTGGACCCCCTTTTCCTCTTCCTAGTGTGGTCACATTGATTCACGTTTTTTTCTGCTTTCACTGTTGTCTGTTTAATCGGCCTATTGGGAGCACGTGGCCCATAATGTTAAGGTGCCAGGGTCCAGGCTCTGGTGCAGATAACTCCCATAGCATCCCAGGTTGTGTTCATGACTAGGATGCAGTGGAACTCTGGTGAAACCCAGATGGAGCAACATGCAGGCACTTACCCTCCTCATAGCTCCCACAGCCATGGTCCTCTCAAGGTCTGTGGAGACAGCAAGTGCCCACAAAACCCAAGCAGCCAAAGGAAGCTCTGGAACACAGGCTGCCATCTGTTGGGATCTCCACTCCAGCCAGTTCCCAGCATGCTTTCAGGGAGTGGGTTGGAAATCTCAGGTGACTCCGCTCACTGCACAAACCCATGCATCCCAGGAGGTCGGAAGCCCGCAGCCTCCTTGGTATCTGCCCTGCCAACACATCACCACTACCATCAGCATTCAGGCCTCAGCTCTAGCTAAGACCCCAAGGGAAAGAGCTAGGAACACTAATGTGAACACTAATGTGTGGGAGCTGAAGAGATGGTCAGTGGTTAAGAGCACTGGCTGCTCTTGCAGAAGACCCAGGTTTGAATCCCAGCACCTACATGGTGGCTAACAACCATCCATAACTTCAGTTCCAGGAGATCCAATGCCCTCTTCTGACCTCCAGGGGCACTGCATGGCACAGGTGCACTTACATATATCCAGGCAGCATACTCATACACGTAAATAAAAATAATAAAGTGTTTAAAAGATGCAAAGGAAATCTCAGAAGAAAAGAAGTTATTTTACTTTATTTGGTGGGGGGAGGGTTTCCCAGAACTCTTCTAGGAAAACCCAGAGGTCCTGTTAGTTATGGCTACCTGCGGGAACACACCTCAACTGTCATTTCTCATGCCACAGACTGAGCAGGGAGCATGGGGTGGGCAAGTGATGTCAGCCTGCCCTAGGCAGAGGCAGCTGAAGACGTCTGGCACCCAGCCCCATGTGGGTCCTAGGTAGCTGTGAGGTTAGAAGAACCTTCTCAGCTTCATTGTTCTAACCTGGCAGAGACGGGGCCTGAGGCACCTGAAGCCATTAAGAAGCATGGTAATTGGACTATGATTTCCTCTTTAAAATTTAATATATTTAAAGTCCATCTCATAAACCTGCCAACTGGAGCCCAGCTAACATGGGCCTTTCCTTGACACTGAATCAGAGGCGCTAGAGGGAAAAACTTGTGGGTCCTGTGAAAAGTTCATCAATTTCCAATGCAGAAATAGACAAAGGGAAGTTTCCATCTTTGGAAAATTGATCTGAGGCCTTATAGTTGATCTCTCTTTTATCAAACATTCTCACTTGCTGGGCAAAGGGTCATTTTTTTAATATCACATTAAATTGCCTTTAATGCAGCAGGCCAAGCTGAGAATGTTAAACAAAGAGAAAATGCCTCTACCTTACCCTCCCCCCACCAAACAAAATAACATCTTTTCTTCTCAGATTTCTTTCACAACATCTTTTCAATATTTTATTTATTATTTTTATTTATGTGTATGAGTGTGCTGCCTGTATGTATGTAAGTGCACCCATGTCATGCAATGCCCATGGAGGTCAGAAGGGGCATTCGACCCCCTGGAACCAAAGTTACAAATGCTTGTTAGCTGCCATGTAGGTGCTGGGATTCAAACCTGGGTCCTGTGCAAGAGCAGCCGTGCTCTCAACCACTGAGCATCTCTTCAGCTCCCACAGCTTCTTTTTTGTGAGACCTCCGGTTCTTTGTACTCCAGTCTCTGACTCTACCCAAGTGAGGGTGCCAGGAATTTCTACCCAAATGAGCTTTAATATGTGGCTGACCATGCTGGTTCTGTGTCCTGCAGGCCATACCACAACCAGAGAGGAATCCACAAGTCCCACCAACAGCCCCTATGCCAGGATCCTAAGGGGAGGTGTATTTGTGACCCCAAAAGATCATGAAAAGGAGTGGGCTCAGGTCTTCTAGTGTGAGAGCCCCCCTCCCCCCACAGGTTCACATATTTGAACACTTGATCCCTAGCAGGTGGCACTGTTAGGGAAGATTGTGGAACATTTAGGAAGTAGAATCTTGCTGGAGGAAATGGATCATTGGAGGTGGGCCATGAAGTTTAATAGCCTGGTCCCACTTCCTGTTCACTCTGCTTCCTGAGTGTGACTACAAAGTGGAAACCAGCCTGCTCCTGCCATCAACCTTCCCTACTGCTGCCGAGCCTCCCCCACCATGATGGACTGTATCCCTCTGGAACTGTAAGACGAAATAAACCCCTTACCCCTTAAGTTGCTTTTGTCAAGGTATTTTTATTACAGTGACAGTTAAGTAACTAAGACAAGTCTGGTCATTAGGAGTCAGCTGCTACTTTCTGGGGATGTGCTATGGCTAACAAGCTCTCTAATAGTGCTAAGGACTGGTGAGTGGGTGGATGGGTGGGTGCAGTGATGAAAAACAGCATGCTGGTTGGTTCCTTCATTGATGAGATGAAATACTTGAGTATAAGCTACTTAAGAGAGGAAGAGTATCTTTGGAGCTTACAGTTTAAGGGGACGCACACAGTCCATCATGGTGGAAAATACGTGGTAACAGGAGCCTGAGGCAGCAGGCCACATTGTGTCATCAGTCAGGAAGCAGAGAGAGATGCATCCTGTCTGTTTTCTCCTTTTATTCAGTCTGGGCTCCCAGTCCATGTTTAGGGTGGGTCTTCCATCCTCATTTAAACCTCTGGGAGCACACTCATAGACATATCCAGAGATGTGTCTCCCAGGTGATTGCAAACCAATTAAACTGACTGAAAATTAACCATCACCAACAGTGACCACCAGCTCTTCACAGCAGGACCTGGGTTCCCACCCTGAGGTCAGCCACTGTCTGCTGGCTTCATGTGTTTGGGCCCTTGTCTCATCTGTTTCCACATCACCAACACAAAGTAGCAGACCAGTGACCCCAGAGATTCTCCCCAGTTTAGACGGTCTGGGTCTTTCTGCTAGTTGGGGAGACCACAGACCTGTGCTCTTGGCCATACTCTGCCCCAACCACTGAGTAACCCTCTCTTGAGCCTCAGTTTCCCTATCTATAAAATGAAGGGTTCAGACTAGACAAAACCAAAGATCCCTTGGTGTCCCCCAAGGCCTGTGGTGCTTCCCTGGAGTCCTCACTAAACTGGAGGCATTTTCCAGCAACATCCATGATGCCAAGCTCACTGGTAACTCTGGCCTCATCCCTCCTCACCCCACAGCACGTACTAAAGGAACAAGACCTAGATGGGGACCTTCGGGGATGCTCACCAGGTGACCTCCTCCAGTTTGATGACTACAACAGTGATGGCTCCCTGACCCTCCGAGAGTTCTACACGGCCTTCCGTAAGTAGGGCCCAAAACAGGGCCTGTGGGAATGGTTTCCTCAGAGGTGTCTGTGCCTCGGTGGTGGTGGTCCTGGAGTCTGGCCTCAGTGGTCCCCAGGAGGATTTGTCATACAAGTGACAGAAGCCAACATTGTTTTGTGCAAACCTGAGCTGGAGAAAAGGTCAATTGACCAACTGTCTGGAAAATTATGTTTACTTGTGGTCATCCATCACCTCTGGCTCTTTTAATCTTTCTGATTATTGTCTTCCACAATAATCCCTGATCCTTGGGAGGCAGAAGTTTGATATAAGTGACAAGCATTCTGTTGCCTCTTGTTCTCCGTGCATTGACCAGTTGTGGGCTTCTTCATTAATCACCATCTGCTGCATAAGGAACCTTCTAGTAAGAGTTGAGAGGTGCATTAATCTATGGGTATAATAAGCCATTGGGAGTCAGTTTAATACTATATCTTTTTATCAGAAAACTAGTATTAGGCTCTCCCTGATCCCCTGTGACGTGTCTAGCCTCAGGTTCCCAGGCCAGATATCAATGTCAGATACGGGTTTCATCCTGTGAAGTGGATCTTAAATCCAACTAGAAAGTGGTTGGTTACTCCTATAATATCTGTGCCACTATTGCACTGGAGGGCATATTTTGCCAGGTCACTTGTACTTTGCAGGATTCACAGCCTGGTAAGATTGATGATTTTTTTTTTTCTTCAGATAGCATGCCTAGCACCTTCCAGCACTATGAAAGCTAGTCAGTGGAGCTGAGGTTCTGAAGTCAGCACCAGCTTGAGGTGGATTGAGAAGCCCTTGACTTTTCAATAAAGGTTTTCCCCATTGATGGAGGCCTTTGGAGCTGTGGCTACGAGTGGAACTGTGGGGAAAATTCTGTGACTGCATGTTATATGACTGTTCTTGGAGAAACTTGAAGAAATACCTATTCACCCAGATAGGGCATCAATGGCAAACCAAAGAAATGATCCATTTAAGTCCAGCTTAGTGAAATAATGAGTTATCAAGGATATTTACAGAGCAAGGGTGAGAGGTTATTTTCAGGAGCCTCAAAGGCAGCTGTGTCACTGAAAAGCCCACCATGCAACAACTCTCCTGCAGGACTTACAGGCAGCTCACTTGGTTGGAGAGCCTCCTCTGCTCAGTAACTGCTGTTGCTTATATAAACCTTAAGGAGGGGCCTTGTGAATCCTGTAAATTTCTCAGAGTCTTGTAAGTTTCATTTATTTCCTAAGTCTTGGGAGCCTCCCTCCCACTTCCAGATGAGAATGTCTCAATTCAGAGGAAACTACTATTCAACACTGAACATAGAGGGAACAGGTTTTAGGGCTGCCCTCAGAGCCCTGAATCCATTGGAGAATCCTGCTTGGAGGTAGAGCTTGCAGGAGGTACCTGGAGCATGGCCAGGCAGGACCCAGGGTCAGTCACTATCAAAAGGCCTCGGGTACAGAGTGCATGTTCAGGAGAAGCAAGGGAATCCCAGAGAAAAAGACTGCTAGTGTTCCTATGACAACGGAGGGGTTCTCTGGGTGGCTCCCCTTGGGTTCCCTGGGCCACACCACACCTGGAGGTGATATCTCAAGGACCCTGACTTGGCCCTGAGGCAACCTGCTAAGAGATTCCATCAAACTAACCATAGTTGGCAGGGATACATGAGCACTATCCTCATAGAAGACCACTGAGACCAGCACTGAGGCTCAGAGGGCAGCTAGGTACTGGGCCCATATAGAGACCTGAGGAATATTCCTTACCCCAAAGAGGTAAAGCCCTTTTCTATTCAAGGGTACTACACCTGTGCTTAGAGCAGGTAGTACATGCACCTGTGTACACTCCCTCAGGGTCACAGCACCTAACACAAAGGCCTTGGCCTTGGAGAAGCAGTGTGAGCCCCCAAGAACACTGAATATCCTAAGCCACAGAGTTTAGGATCCTTCCTTCTCTACAGTCCTTGCCTGGAATTTCATCTTTCAAGAAGGTATTCCTGCTTCGTATTGACATTTCTTTGAACTGTGGTTATTCCAGATATTTATAAAACCTGAGAGGCAGTTTTCAGGATTTGCTACAAAAGGTGTGGGGGCTCTTGTAGCAAATGGACGGCCTACTTGGGTGGCACTAGGGAGACTAGCAAGTGATTCTTCTCCACAGGAGGTGCCCACATGTTTGATTAGATTCTGTGAGGAATGCTTTCCAGTTCACAGTATCCTCATTACCCGGGGCCACCATCCAACCATGATTACAGGGGCCTTACTTGACATAATATGTTTATGTTTGTCTCTAACCTCCTCCTCCCTACTCACTGGTAAAACCCATATCTGCTGGTACTCATTCATAATAAAGTGTGAATGAATTGTAGGCTTATCTTGCTGCTAGAAGTACCTGCTTGTTGGATCAGGAGATTATTCTCAGAAATAAATATCTGTATTATAGAAAGTTTGGAAGTCCACTTTGCTGGACCTGGATCCTCAAAACTTATGATTAAATGATCAGGAATTTTGCAAGCACAGTGTTGAACAGTTGGTGGCTTGAAATCGATTGTGAGAATCTTGACACTCAGAAATCTGACCATGTAAAGGGGGCGGTGCTGTTCTTCTCCAGAGCCAGATGTCAAGTGTTGATCTGAACATCAGGAGAGACCCTCCCTATTGACCTCAGTGCCTGGTTCATCACTAGTCTTTCCTTCCCCTTCCCCAGAGTGAGGTCCCCTGATGAGACTGGTACCAAAGAATGTGGATGAAAATAGGAAGATCAGCCAGGAGGGATTATGGCAAGGTTTGTTCCCCAAGCCAGGAGATGGCATGTTTGCTGGGGACAGCAGTAATGTGTTCCAGAAATACTACCTGGACTCCAGCTCCTCTGTAAAGGAAGGGATGAAGGAAGAGGTCAGTGTATATTAGGAGCCAGAGGCTGGACTTCAGGAACATAGGGGACAACCTAAGTGATGGTTTAGATTGATCATCAACTTGACAGGATCTAAAATCACCTTGAAGACAAATATCTGGGCATGTCTAGGTTAGTTGAGGTGGGAAGACCCCACCTAAATGTGGGTCCCACCCTTCCACGAATTGGGATCCTAAGCACCAGGATTCATTCATTCTCTCTCTCTCTCTCTCTCTCTCTCTCTCTCTCTCTCTCTCTCTCGTAATGTCCTCGGGACTAAAGAGATGACTCAGTGGTTAAGATCATTGACTGCTCTTACAGAGGACCCAGGTCCCTCTCCCCTCTCCCCTCTCTCTTCTCTCTCTCCTCCCCTGACATGATAAACTGTGTCATAGTTTGTTCTCTGTTGCTGTGACAAAGACCATGACCAAAAGTAACTTAAGGGAAAAAAGGTTTATTCCAGCTTACAAGTTAGTCAAAGATCAAGGGAAGCCGGGGCAGGAACCTGGAGGCCGGAACGGAAACAGAGATCAAGGGGGAGCGCTGCCTCCTGGCTTCTTCTCTGCCTTTCTTACACAGCCCAGAACGGCCTGCATAGGTACCACCCACAGTGGGCTGGGCCCTCTTAGATCAATTATTAATTGAGAACATGGTCATAGGTCCATGTGATAGAAGCAATTCCTGAATTGAGATTACTTCTTCCTAGGTTTGTCAGGCTGATGCAAACTAACCAGCACAGACTCTATCCCCTCAAACCATGAGCCGAAAGAAACACTTCCTCCTTTAAGTTGCTTTTGCCGGGTGTTTTATCACAGTAATGAGAGAAGTAATTAACAAAACTAGGCGTCACCATTCACATAGCCCACGATGGCATCATGAAACAGAGATTGGTGCTGCCTGGGCACATCCTTGATCCTGGTGCAATAGCAGCCTCTGGACCTCTTCCTGGGAATGGATCTGGAGCCAAACAATAAGCGCTTGGCTTTGCTCCCAAGGGAACGCAAGCATCTCTACCACCCATGATGTCAGAGAGATGGCTTCCCTGATGAAGGTCAATATAAACATGAGCCACCATGGAAAAGGCGCACGTCATCCCTTCTCCTCCAGCCACGGGCCTCCAGCAGGCCACCCCGATGTCTGCTCCCTTCATTCCTGGATTATTATTTGAAAAGCTTTATAATCATCATTTTTAAAGCAAATTAGATTCTGCCATCACCTTGGACTTGTTTTGAACTGAGCAACAAAACCATTCATCACAGCCCAACCCAAGTAATAAATATGCAATAAAATGTAAACTCACAGCCATTAAGGAAGCTACAAAATGAGTTAACCCAGCTATAAAGGCCTGATATGCGGCCTCTTGGAGCGCCCTGGGATCAATGGTTTTTTAAAGTTATAGGAACTCTGTGCTAAATTCCCAGAGCTGTAGGAACAGATATATGGTTGGGTGAATTTTAAATGAGTCATTGAAATGAGACATAAGGTACAACTTATCACCTAAGTCGATGGGCATTAAAGAAACCTCACTAAAACCCACAAAGTCGTAGCTCCCATATCTTAGCAACAGCATATTGGATTTAATTTTAACAGCTGGAGTTGATGGGCTGGCAGAAGTTAAGACTTTGGAATTTAATTTTCTAGCTTCTATTTTGTCAGCTTCCTGGGTGCAAGGCAGGGTAGGGGCTGTGAGGTGGCAAAGCCCCCTAGCATTCTGAAGCAGACTCAGTTGCTCTATTACAGGATGATGGGTCTGTCAGGGGGATTGTCCTACAGAAGTGACTTGTGTTGATAAGTTCGGAGGTGGGATGGAGAAGGAGGCTTCTAAGTTATGTCTTCTGTGCAATTGTCCTGGCCCTCACTGTGTTGTAGAGCACAGCTAGCTAAAGGCTAGGTAAGGAGTTCCAAGGCTACCAGCTGCCCTGCTCAACTGAGCTGGTTCATGCTGAGATTGCACCTCTCTCCTGACTTTAGCAAATAGGTGACCCATAATCCAGGAAGGGAGCATAGAGCGGGTATGGTAGCCATGGGAACCAGATCCATCTCTTTGAGTGTGTGTGTGTGTGTGTGTGTGTGTGTGTGTGTGTGTACACAGGTGTGTGTGTACAGATGTGTGTGTACATGTGT